TTTTTTTTAAATATAGAAATGAATCATCCAAAGACAATTTAATCTGCATTTATTTTTTCTCCTAAGTGTGATTCAGTCTTGGCAGTGTTTTGTTGCTCTGCATGGGATTTTACAGTAATGCCAGTAGGCTGTAAGTGGAAAAAACACTGCTTAATAGTGTCTCAGGTTGTATAATGTAAATAAAAAAATAAAAATTTTTTAAAAAAAGCTTTTCAGTGTAACATATTTCTAAAATATTTGTAATCCGGAAAATGTTCTGAAGGTTTTGAAATAATTCAGTTAAATAAAAGAAACATAAGTTTGTTGAGAAGCAGTGCTTTACTTTGCTTTCTATTTTTGAGCTTTTATTTGTTTTTTGTTTTTTTTGTTTTTTTTCTCCAAAGGTGTGGAAATGTGAACTTTGCCAGAAGAACAAGTTGTAACCGATGTGGACGGGGTAAAAGACGCATATATATTTTGATGTTATAAAAAAAACTTTGTGGCCTCATCCTAACTTTTTGGTCTGCAGTTTTCCAGAATGTTTTATTCATTTATTGTATGTGTAGTAGAGTAGTACATGTCATTATACTTCTGTCTGGGTTTCCTAAAAGCAACTCAGCACAAAGATGAATCTTAAATGCTAGAGCGAGCATCTGACTGAATACTCTCTCTGCCAGTTCAGATGATCTTAACACTAAAATGCTTTTGGGAAACTGGTAACTGTAATGTTGGCATGTTTATATTGATATATAGTCAGTTATAATGTCCATTTCTTTATATGAAAACTAGACAATATGTATGTGTTGTTTTTTTTGAATAGAGAAAACTACAGAGGCAAAGCTGATGAAGGCTGGTGGGACAGAGATTGGGAAGACCCTGGCTGAAAAGAGCAGGGGACTCTTCAGTGCAAACGACTGGCAGTGCAAAACGTAAGTATTCCCAAAGGAATTAAATTGCGATCAAATCTAGGCAAAGAACAGCCTTAAAAATAGTGCTCTGTAGAGTCTTTCATAAGATCCTGACACATAGGTACCTATACATTAAGAGCTGCCTCTTGCTCAGCTATCTCTTGCTCATTTCACATTTTTTCATTAAATTCACCCCCAAAAAAACTGCAAGGTTTGCAAAGGGTTAGATACTGGTTTTGTTTCCAATACCAAATATATTCTTGTAAGATAAGTAAGCAAGTAAGTTTGTGGATTTGTGTTTTTCAGAATGCATCGATATTTAATTAAAAATCCTGTTCCATGTTTGTATTTGTAGCTGTGGCAATGTAAACTGGGCTAGAAGATCAGAGTGCAACATGTGCAACACCCCCAAATATGCCAAACTTGAGGAAAGAACAGGTATGTCATTGACTGAAGGACAATTGAATTTAAACTTTTTTGGTTGAAGACCTCATGGAGACTGTTTTAAGTACTGATGGTGGTATGTAATTGCATGACTGACGTTTCTCTTGATATGACAATCTTAACAGCTCTCTTCATTGTTTTTGTTTTCTTTGACAGGATACGGTGGAGGCTTCAATGAGAGAGAGGACTTGGTTTACAATGAGCGGGAAGAGTCTGATGGAGAATATGATGAGGTCAGTGTTTTTGCACTGCTGCTGCTATTTCTACTCCATTGTAGTATTATGAGAATGAGGCCAGATATTTTATTATGAAGACAGTTTTAGCTGTGCTTAAAGTGGGATGCTGTGTATCCTCAGCAGGCTTATTTGGGTCTTATTTGGATTTTGCTATTTTTGTACTGATTCAAATTCCCTAAAACGCTTGCACAAGTGTGTCACCTAATGCTGCTGTCAAATCTGTGCTGTTGGTTTGTTAAGTTCATCCCAGACCTGTCAAACACCAGCTGGCCATAATGTGGAAAATGGGATGTTTTCCAGAACTGTCCTGTGACTAACAAGTTCTTGACGGTTTTAGCTGTGTCAGAGAGCCTAATGCTGATGTTCGTTTATCTACAGAAGAAGGCAGCTATCACTAGCAGGAAAGAACTCTTTTCATGGTGGCACTGAGATGTAGTAATGTGTTAGTTTTGTAATACACCAAAGTTACAGTGAAAAAATGTGGTATGTGAGCTCACAACTAAAATTTGTAGAACATCTTTTACTGCTATGTGGTTTGCATCCCCAGGAAATCACTTTTTATTTTTGCTTATACATTAGCATGTATTATGAATTTGTCTTGGTGTTTGGTCATATGCTACCCTCAACACAATTTACATGTATAAATGCACATTGCATTTATTACTTTTATAGCTCTTGTACATAGCGCTGTCGGTAAACATCACATTATTCTTACAGTTTGGTCGTATAAAGAAGAAATATCGTGGGAAGAACAAGAAAGAGAATGAGAAAAAAGCAGAACCTGAAAAAGAAGACGAAGATGATGAAGATGGAGATCTTTCAAAGTACAAACTCGATGTAAGATCAATGATGACTTTTTTTAATCACATTTGTTCTACTTGCAGTAGATTTAAAAATAGATCTTTGTATCTTTAAGTGGCTCACCATTGAACCTTTTTAAATCTCTTTAGGATGATGATGATGACGACGACGAAGATGATGATGATGATGATGATGCAGATTTGTCCAAATATGACCTGGATGCTGATGACTGGAAGCTATCTGAGAAGAAAGGGAGTGGCTCAGGCTCTTCTCGGTCTTCCTCTCGTTCCTCCAGTTCGAGTTCACGGTCCAGGTCCAGGTAAACGGGTACAGGTCAAGGGTAACGCCAGACAAAATGTCAGTATCAGTTCAACTCTTCATTCAAAGATGTTCATCATAATGTTTGTCACATTTTATGTTTTATTTATTGCTTTTTCCTTTTTAAATATTGTATTCCACCTGCTATTTGTGCTAGTTTGTTTGATTCTGACATGGAAGCACAAGGCACTGTCTTATCAAGGTTTTTTTGTGTGTATGTGATGTGAGCATTTACAACAAGCAGCAAGACAAGTGGGCTGGAACAGCTCTCTGAAAGCAAACTATACTAACAACCTGGACTCTAACTGAAACAGGTTGAAAAGCTAACAGATCTTTGCTTTGAGTGTTTCCAAGAAGAGCCTTTATTGAACTGAATGAACTTTGTTGATGGATCAAATTTTGAGTGGTTTTAAAATTACAGTGATGTCAACAACATACATACGAACTTAAGTTTTAAAAATCTGGTTGTGGAAAAACTTCTGAGAAATTCAGGACTTAATTAAGGAAGGCATTCCCCATTTTAGTAAATGAAGGACCATTATTTTGATTATTTAAATATCAAATACCAGTTTGGGTCTCACATGCCTGCTTAATTCATTTTAACTGGAAAGCAGGAACTTTGTCATGATACCAAAGTTCTTGAATATTTTATATAAACAAAAACAATATCCAAATGCTTGAATAAAAATCAAGGAAAAGCAAGCACTGGACCGACTAATAGTAAGACATGTCTTCCCCCTAAGATACTTAGTTTCTGGTTTCTTGGACATGGATTAAACCTAAATTCCAGTGCAATTAAAACACTGTGTAGTCTGGGCTTAGGCCATTCTGGGAAATGAGCTATTAGGTTCACAGAAAAGTTCCTAATACCTTCTTCAAATGCATTCTTTGCTTTTTCTAGAGAGAAGAGTATTGATCTGTCCTAGTATACACTGATTGGGCCTGTACATGTGGTTAACCATGTATCAGTACTCTTTCACGTTGTGGGGGAAATTGGAAATGTGTTGCTTTGTTTTGCAGATCCCGGTCCAGGAGCTCATCCGGTTCCAGATCACGCTCTCGCTCGAGGTCTCGCTCGAGGTCTCGCTCAAGGTGAATGAGGTGACATGCACTCTCCAAGGGAGAGAGTGTATGTGAACTGAGAGTGGTTGCAGTAACCACTTTGGCCTCAGCAGAAACTGACTTAATGGGCTGCAAGAAAGTTTAGAAATATTAGTCTTTGCATAAGAACTTTCTTTAGATTCTGGTCATGTGTAACGCTGAACAGTTGTTGGCTTATGTGTAGAAAGTCAGAAAATACTTCTTACAGGATACATTCAGAGGATGACAGTGTTTTTACTCTCGGTTAAATTATATTTATAACATTCTGTGGTGTTACAGTGGCATCACATATTAAAACAACCCACAGTCAGATTTATTCACCATATCCAAGGGTGAAGGTGTTTCTATGAAGATGTTTTTATAAAGACAGTACCTGTCCTTTGTAGTTGTTGAATAATTTAGTTGTATTTGTATAACTGATGAGAGTGCCTACTATATATCCCCTTTAAAAGATCCAGCTCCCGCTCTGGGAAAGGCTCAGCTTCTTCAAGAAAACGGTCTCACACGTCTTCACCATCCCCTGAGAGAGGTCAGAAGAGGAGTCGCTCCAGGTCCTCCTCTGGTGGCCGCAAAAAAAGACGTTCTCGATCACAGTCGTCAGAAAGGTTTGGGTTTCTGTGGTGTAAAAAAAAAAAAAATGGTCTACTGGTGTCATTTTTATTTTTTGTATTGTATCAGAAATGAATGATAAAATGTCACAAGTCTATGGAACAGCTTGAGCAGTTGGTGTATGACAGCGTCACTCTGTACAGTACTTTGATTTTTATCCTAACATGACTTGTTTCAGAAGCTGATGATTCACATAGTTAAATTGGCTATGGTCTTTCTCTCTCTTTTTCTTTTGTTTTACCCCCCTCCTCCCTCTCCCCTGTGTCTCTGTAGGCGCCGTGGCTCATCTGGATCTTCCCACTCTGGCTCAAGCTCACGAAAGAAGTGATTTAACAAAAGAAACTGTCTTAAACACAGGGGGAAAAAGTCTTTCTATAACTGCATGTTGTGTTTGGAGAAATCACAAACTGTGCTATTTCAAGTATTAATGTTGCAGTACTCAACGTTTCTCGTCATAAATTCAAGTAACCGTAATCTGCCTTTCTTACCATATAGGCTAGCTGAACCCTTCAACAATGCAGACCAGTGTAGAATACCATCTCAGTGATTTTACAGAGAATAATAGCACATTTATTGGTTCATACATTTTTGAAATTCATCCACATTGACTGACTGCTTTTCAAAAAAATAGGTCATCAGATAATTATGTTCATTGACTAAACATTCACTTGCAATATTTAGATGCTGCTTTTACAAATCCCATGTCTGGTCAGTTAAGACAGCCTTAAGTGATAAGCTACACATAAAACGTTACTGACTCAGGTCTGTGACATCTTGGAGGGTAGCAGATAGACTTTCTGGGTTTTTGTTTATTTGTTTTTTTTTTGTTAAACATTTTAAACACTTCATCTAATTGTGTGGTAAAGGTAAGTATATTTTTCTTTTTGTTGAAAAATGTCTTGGCCAAATTGCTATAATGGTATGGAGATTTTTTTTTTTTAGTTCTTCTTTAAGTGTTCTGTTTTTGTGTAAAGACATGAGTGTGAAGCAGTTTGAAAAGCAGTGATCAATTTGCAACTCAACTTTCTCCACAAGGAATGAGCACTGCTGATGTGGACTACATAATTCATTTGTAAGAAGTAACCTAAATACTTAGGGCATATCAGATTTCTTTTCCCTTCAGGCAGCATTTGTAGAAAGTGAAAATTGTACACCATTAATTGGAACTCAATGGCAATGTGATTAACATGAATAAAAATCTGTTAATCTAAACTTTTTTGTATGGCATATTTCTTTTGTGCCGTAGTTCAATGTGGTCAGTCTGGTGGGTTTACACTGTAGCCTAAGGTAATACCTGGACATTGGGTTGTCTTGGTTTTCATTGCACTGGTCTTTGATCTACCTATTCTGCACACACAACATGAAGATAATCATAGACCTGTTTAAAACCTCTTAACAGGTAAGTCGTAGCCTTTTGCAAAATAGGTTATGGTTCAAATCTGTGATTGTGTGTGTGTAGTTCTGTGTGATTCTTTTATGGATGGTTGGAACTTGTTTTCAAATTAAATTTGAAAATATGTTCTAGTCTGAGTGAGCGAGTATAATTTTGCAGTGTTACAAGAGCAGTGAATTATTTTGAGCTCTAGGTGGCACTTGGCATGAACTTTGGTTATGAACCAAAAAGTCAAAATTCCCTTTTTACATCCTTTTCCAAACTCTCCTTATCCAATTACAATTAAGCAGGCTGTCTTTGATAGTGTCTGTACTGTACTGCATTTAAGCAGCAGTCTAGGCAGAAACGCTCCTTATAACTAAAGCGTGAATGGGAGGGGCTAAACTGCAGTGGGCTGCTTAAGTGAATGTAGGTGAATGTTTTTGTTGCATCACAAAAGCAATTCAGAACAGGATTTTTTCTTAAACCCTCAGAATATAGTACACCAAAAGAAAGCTGCTGTCAGCACAAGGTTCTACTCTGGTTCTACTATTTTGAGATACAAGGTTTTGTTACGACAACAGTTTGTGTTTTGTGATTTGGGCCCTTCAGTTTGTGGTTTATGAGTTGGGTGAATGACTGGGAATAAATGTGTGTTGCTGTGGGTAAACCTTAAGGTTAGCTTTTCCCAAAAACTGTCATGTAGTCTACTTGCACTGCACAAAATTGTGTTTTTCTGCTCGAGCTCAAGATGACTGATGTGTCTTGGATGCAAGGACTGCAGAGAAGGTGGAGTACAGGACTTGACGGGCGGGGATAAGACGCTTGGGCCACAAGTTTTTGGCCGTTTTGATGCTTGATGTTTTGGAAAGGATCCATTTTATTGCTGAAAATGCCTAAAAGAGACCACACCCACTTACGAAATTTATATTCATGACTTTGAGTAGAAATGTGTCCGTATGTGGGCAGTAACACCAAGCCAGCCTGTTGTAGAGAACTTAAGGCGGTTCACATGTTTACTCTGACCACAGCGCCACCACAACCGGCAGGGCTTTGGTTTCTTGGTTAAAGTGTGTTGGAGTAGAGCAAAATGTATGACCCTGGTGGTTAATCGGCTGAGAATGCCTGTGTGCAAAAAACATTGTCATTTTGATGCCTGGTTTTTGGAAAGGGTAGAGTTTTACTTTAGGAAACGAGGACGTTAAAACACTCCAACCATGTCTTGCGTCGTGTATTCTACTGTTTAATCATGTTTGAAGTGCGCTTTTATTGGAGCGCGCAGCAGAGTGGTGTAAAGGTCCATGCTGGAGTCCCGCCTCTGCGCGCAGCGTCCTAAAGCGCAGCACCACAGTCTGGAGACGCGCACCAAAGTCCGGCCAGCTTCAGCTCCAGCTCCAGCCAGAGCCATGATCTCCGAGAAAGGATGACCTCCAGGTGTAAACCCGCTTTCAATCCTAACACTTCGACCGAAGCCATGTGGGAGTCGAACGTCTCCAAAGCGGTGCACGAGGGCAGAGCCAACAGCAGCGCCGGCTGTGGATCAGTGTCCGTCGCCTTCCCCATAACCATGATGCTGACGGGGATGGTGGGCAATTCCCTCGCCATCATACTGGTTTATAGCTCGTACAGGAAAAAGGAAAACAAAAGGAAGCAGTCGTTCCTGCTCTGCGTCGGCTCTTTGGCGCTGACCGATCTTTTTGGGCAGTTGCTGACCAGTCCCATAGTCATCTCCGTGTACAGAGCGGAGCTGCAGTGGGAGCGAGTGGACCCGTCGCGAACTTTGTGCGCCTTCTTCGGGGTCTGCATGACCACTTTCGGCCTCTGCTCGCTCTTCATGGCCAGCGCGATGGCGATCGAAAGGGCCTTGGCCATCACGGCTCCTCACTGGTACGCAAACAACATGAAAACGAACGTGACCAAGCAAGTGCTCGTCACCGTCTGGTGCCTGGTCCTGATTTTCGCCCTGCTGCCCATCGCCGGTGTGGGAGAGTACACCCTGCAGTGGCCGGGCACCTGGTGCTTCATCAGCACGGGGGACAGAGATCTGGGCAACACGTTTTTCGCCACTACGTTCGCCGCCTTGGGCACGTTTTCGCTGCTCGTCACTTTCTTCTGCAACGTGGTCACCATCCGCGCGCTGGTTGCGCGGTGCAAAGCCAAACCTAGCGCGTCGCAGTCCTCCAAGCAGTGGGAGAGACTGACCACGGAGACGGTCATTCAGCTGCTGGGGATCATGTGCGTCCTGCTCATCTGCTGGTCCCCTTTACTGGTGTGTACATCTGTTCCAGCTCTTATAGATCTTACTGTTACTTCAGCACTACAGAGATCAGTTATGTGTTTAGGAGCAGGTCCCTCTGGATCAGTTTAAAGCTGGTTGGGTGTAAAATCTGGGCTCTGATCTGTTTTGGCTGAGTTGACTGGCAATTAATTTCATGCCTTTAAATCAACAGCTAGGCCTGAGTTAGTGGTTTCAAAGTTGTAAAATATGCCTCCAGTTTCAAGTCTACTTAGCTGGTTGATGGAGAATGTGGTGTAGATGGTTCTATATAGAACTTTTTTGAAAAGGGTTCTTATGTTGTTACAACAACATGTATTTACAGCACATTCTCCATCAGTCTGAAGAACGCTTTCACGACGCAAACAACCCTTTAATCATTGAAAGGCATCTTTGAATGTTCATGGTTCTATATAGAACCATTTTCTTTACTAAAGAACCCTTGAAGAACCATCATTTTTAAGTGTGTAGAAGGGCTACAAAGGCCATGCGAGTGAGTGATACATTAAGATGTTCCATCCCTTCATCCTTCTTGCATCACCCAAAGCTTTCTAGCTACACTTTGAAGTGTGTAATGTGAAATTGGGTGATTTATTATTCTAAACTATATCTTTAGCACTAAAACCATGTAAGCAGATCATCCATTTTTAAAGCCTGTTTTTGGCTCTAGTCTGTTTGTGTGAGTCCAGCCATGGAGTATTTACCTAATCCACATCTTCAAATGGACGTAGAGGCAGCACGACATTCTTAAAGGGCAACTCCACCGATTTTTCAGAATGTCGGCACAAGGAAATCATTTCATTGTAAACAAAGTCATTCTAAGTTGTTTGACATGAAATGCATAATTGTGGTTTTATTAAGCTTGTTATTAGAATACTTCAAAATCCAAATTTGTCCCGAATACCCTATACTGTAACTATATATTTGTTCTCTCATTTGCTGAGGGATTGGTGGATTAGCGTAACTTTCTGGCAGGCCAAAACATAGAGGTGAGTGATATGGCAAAAATATAAAATCGCAATACTTCAAGAAATTTTCACAATATATAATATGTCACAATATATTTTCAGACATCTGATCAGTTGGACCAGAGAAAGAAATAATAGTGCTACATTTAAAATAATCAAAAACTGTGAAAACAATCATTTTTATTCAATATTTTGCACTAAATCCTGTTAAACAGGACTAATTCTGCTCTCTTTATAATGATACATGCAGTTGGTCAGTGTTCGGTAGGCTGCTGATGATATTCACAATATGTTCAGAAAAGCATATTATATGGTATTGTGACATAATTTGCCACGATAACGGTATATGTTGTCATATTGCCCAGCCATAATCATACATCCCACAAGCCAACTCTGGGCAGTCCTACCTCCTAGGAAGCTATAATGTGATAAGGTACAAATATGCTGCCTGATGCCTCAGACAGTTCAGTGATAAGGTTGTGGCCTAAAGTGTATTCAAAGAAAACATCAGTCCTCAAAGAAAACAAAAGATTTAATACTGTTTGACCACACTCAACTTTATAAATAAAACCTCATGTAGGCCTCTGGAAAATTTGGATAGTAAACAAAATGGCTATAATTGCAATGTTGCCATTGCAAGCCTTGGTTCCCATCACCACGACTGTAAAAATATTTTAGTCAGTAAGTTTCTCTACAATGAATCATTTCACATCAAAACAAACTGACTGACTTTATTTACATCTCAATGGTTGAATTATGTCCAAATTTAGAAAAGTCATTGGAATTCCATTTAAGTCTCAAAATATGGCTTTCCTGCTGAAAAAAAGAAATATAAAAACATGAAATGATTCTGTTGGTTCCTGGTGGTTTACTAATGTGTTTTGGCTTTTCTTGATTGGTTGATGTCTTAATGGTTTAACAGGTGACCTGTGACTGATTCTAGATGGATTTGATGGTTTTCTGAAGGTGTTCCACATGAAACTAGTGGTCTCTAATCTTAACCATTAATTCCTGAAGTAAAACCACCTGGTTTTAATCCTAATGAATGTAATGGTCTTTTTTCAGCAGGGGGGCTGTGAGGGCTTACAGCCTGAGTAAGTAGATGAGGATACGGTTTTGTTTAGTAAAGTTTTTTTTGTTTGTTTTTGCTCCCTGCAAGAAAAACCAACAAACCCAGTATATGTTTTGTTTTGGATGCTGGTGTGCTGGTCTACCAGTATGTCCATGCTGGGTGACAGGTAAACCAGCACCAGATCAGGGTAAACCAGCTTAGAACAGCTCTGTCCCTTTTTATAATTTATTTTATTTATTTTTATTATTATTTTTTGAAGCAGGCCTGTCAAAGCCTCTAGCTTCGTTGTAAAATGTGCATTATGACACCTGAACAATTCTTGAAGAAAAACAGGCCAGTTTCCAAGTTTCATAGCAGAAAAGCTTTACTGAGGCTTGAAGACTAACATGAATTTACTAGCACTGTCTTCATGATAAAATTCGTCGTCTGCTCCAGGGTTCAGAGTTTACATTCATTCATTAGTAACTCTGTCAATAACCCTTGTACCTTTATTGCCTTTTGATGTCCAAATGCTGGTTGGTACGGCTTTTGTTTTGTGCTACTGATCCACTTCCCGTGCTTTTTCCCCCACCTGTATTCCTGCAAGCTACAACAGCCTTGGCGTCTAGTCCTGTGCTTGCATTGGCTAGTGGTTCATAGTCATTAGCAGTCGGCCAATAGCTAATCCTAGCACAGGGGGTGGGGCTTGTCAGAATACTGGTGGAAAAACCTCAACGCTCCTTTTCAATCTGCTTCCTTGTTTGCCGTCGTGTTGACATGATTGATGTTGTTTCACACACCTGCAGCCCAGACATCAGCTTATCAGACACGTTTCAAGTATCTGTTAAGCATCATGTTGCTTTCATATAGCCTAATCGGTTGATTTTAAATCTCCAGGGACATGACGGCTACTTAGTCTTGTCAAAACCTTGAAAACCTTTTTTTTAAAAACAGATGAGTTTGTGAATGTAGACTATATTTAATATAAAAGTCCTACAGCCTTAACATTGATCAAAACCTAAAGACCATCACACATTTTGGTCTTTTTTTTAGATTTTTCTAATGAATGTAGTCTCTTTATTTTACCTTTGCTTAGTTTCAATCCTGTGACTTGAGCACAATCCTCAGTATTCAGGTTCATATCTTAGCTGAGTGGCTTTTTCCATGAATGTGCCATTTTAGCATTCTCATAGCAAGAGTAGGATGGCAGGCTTCCTTTGTTCCCTCTACTAAGAGGCACTCTAATATAGCAGAGAAAAATTATTAGTATTCTCACAGAGTTTGTTCAGGTACTTCACGGCACCATGTGGCCAATAGTTCATGTCTTTTCTGAAGCCTTTGAAGCAGCATCAGGTTTCAGAAGCATCAGAGAAGAAATGTGCTGCATTCATTTGAGCAGATAACTGGAGTTTGTGAGATAGAAATCTGAAGTGGAGCATAATGAAAGAAAACTATAAGCTAATAGGACTTTAAAGAAGCCATTTCCTGCAATATTCTTGTATCATCTTCTCTTCCTGAGGTCCATGTATGACATTGTGGTTCTGCCTTTAAGGCTGATACATGACCTCTGATCAGATTGGCTCTCTTGTATCATCGCAAAAGCCGATGCTTGCCATATATACTGATGCTTGTTTATTAACCATTTTAAAATCAGTGCAAGGCAAGGCATACTCTAAAGACATACTCAGTCAGCTTCTTAACAAACACTGAAGTTCCTGTTAAAGCGTGAGTAGACTGATGAATCAGTCTGATGAGACAGTTATTAATCTCAGTGTTACTCAGCTAATTAGGGTTATATTCATGAGTAATAAGCTTAGCATCGTTGTTGTACTGGGATTGTGCTTGCGTTTCGTGGCAAGTTACATAACTGAAAATCACATCTCTTTCCAGATTTTGGGATTGGGATCATTAGGATGCCTAGTTCATGAGACAGCAATGGGATTATGGGAGTAGCAGTGAACTGAAGCAGGAGATGAGAGCCAAAATAATATTGAGACATTTGTAACATCATTTAAATAAGGGAATTTTTCATGAAACATATTAACAGAAGAATTACATCAAGAAAACTTCCAACCAGTTACAGCAAGGAACAATGTGAGTTAAATAACAAAAACAATAATATAGTTTTTTTTCCCATTTGCTGAATATTTTACTTTTTTTTTATTTATTGTAATGAAATGTCTTACTGAATATATTTAATACAGTATATTCAGTATTCAGCCATCACTATGTTTTCAAAGTGTTCAGTACCTTTAACATTTAACATTTCAGTACCAGAACATCTTCAGTACCTTTAGTTAGGGTACCATTCGGTATCGAATGGTACCAAAATTCTATTGCAACTATTTTTTCTAATTGACTCCATAATTCTACAGTCTGTCTTGATTCCAAGCCTTTAATTTAATTTTTCTGTTCAAAAAGTTATGCAGTGGTTAAAATTATCATTAAAGTCATCATTAAAGGCATTGTTAATTTAGCTGTCAACCACAGTATATTGGAGTTAAAATTAAAGTGCAGACTTTCAGCTTTAATTCCAAACTGAGTGAACGATGTAGGAGTTACAGCAATTTTCATTCATAGCCCCCCTCCACATTTTTAGGATATCTATCTATCTATCTATCTATCTATCTATCTATTAATCAATCAATCAATCATCAATCAATCAATCAATCAATCAATCAATCTCTCTCTCTCTCTCTCTCTCTCTCTCCCTCTCTCTCTCTCCCTCTCTCTCTCTCTCCCTCTCTCTCTCTCTCTCTCTCTCTATATATATATATATATATATATATATATATATATATATATATATCCAGATAGATATAGATATATATACATATATACATATATACATATTGATATATGATTTTGTGGGAGTTTTGTGGTGGAGGCAATATTGTGATTCAAGACAAGATTGATTGCTAACACTTTAATTACAACTTGCCGTAACTCAATTTTTACATTATGAACACACTATTTAAATGAAAAAACCAAAAAAGTTAAATTCCTCTGTTAAGGCATGACTTAATTAGCTGTACTCTACTTCAGGCAAGTTTTTTTTTTATCTTTCCCAATAATCTGTTATGTATTTTGTCTGTCTATGAATTACAGATACTAATGTTGAAGATGATCTCCACCCATATGTCTTCTGATCAATGCAAGCAATCGTCTGCTTCTCCCTTGTCCAGTCAGGACTTACAGATGGACTGTAACTTCTTTCTGACAGCCATACGTCTGGCCTCTCTCAATCAAATTCTGGACCCTTGGGTTTACCTTCTCCTGAGGGAGATCCTGCTGAGGAAATTCTGCCAGGTGGCAAATGCAGTGTCCAACTGCTCACTGGAAGGACAGAAGGAGACTAAGAAAGAGACGCAGAAGGAGACCATCTTGGATACTACAAAGAAGCAGGCCATTGAGAATGATGAGTTTCAGAAACTGTCTCCTCTCAATCCTAGTGGAAGTGCACAGGCGTGACTTAAGTTATTTATATATTGCTGTGTAAACATATGTTTTAAAAGGGCAGTGGGATCTGTATGACTAATCTCATTCTGAGAGACTCTAACTTTTGTGACTTGCACTTGGCTCTGGTTGGTGGAACTTGTGAATGCTGAGTGAGCCCAGCATGCTAGCATGTGAACACTTGACTCTTTTTAGCAACTAGAACTGACCTGGCATTTGAAGCAGGATTGCTAAATTACCATCCTGTGAAGTAAAACACTGCAGTGAGGAGAACTTAACAGCCAAAATACCCTGAATAGCAATATCAGAGAAGAATGGATTTCTGAGTTTCAAAGGACATTCGTAAGGCTTTTCATTAAATAGGATGGAAATTTCAATTCATTTTAATAATTGTTAATGTGGCTACAGCATTGGCCTTTTGTGTGCCAACAAAAGTGAATGAGTAAATTAAGATCTTATTAATATAATATCCTCATTTACAGTCGTGTTTGAGCTTCTTTGCAGCAAAGCACTGGATGGTCTCAAAATATTTTTACACGCTGTTATGACAAGAATAAAGGTGCAGAGGCTATGATGATGAGTTTATATCAAACGTCCTGCTTGAAGTACATCATGTGATGTTCCTCCACACAGTCCAACACTGTGCCAGGCCTAAAAAGTTCTGTTAATGCATGATAAGCTTGAGTGACACTTGGCATGTTTTCATGCTTGCATGCACTGCTTGTATTCATTCCTTCATTTCTGGTTTCTAAATGGAGTAAACCATCACCTGTAGTCCTCACTACTACTCATCTAAGTAGTAGTGTCACTAATGTTCTGCTTGCCCTTGAAGCTGGCCCATGTTCCTCACAACGTGATGCCATTATCTGTCTGCACCACACACTGCAATGTCAGGGAGCATTTATGAGGACCCATGTGACTCAAGCTAATATGAACATTAGCATGTGTAGTTTTAACACATAATGACCTCCACTGTGCTGAAAGAACCAGTCCTCAAATAGTAATCAGTAGTTACTTTCCTCTTAGTATGTAAACCCATTTCCACCAAAAATCCCTGCTTCTCTGTGGTAGCAATGTGTCAAAAGGTTGACTTGAAATTTCAAAATATTTTATTTTCCTGAAACACTGACTTATTAACTTGAAATAATTACTTATTTTCTCAGAATAATTCACTACATATCTCAAAATCTAAGTCATTATTTTGACGTAGTACAATACTTTGAGAAAATGAGCCATTATTTTGAGGCACAAAGTCAATCGTTCTAGAGGCTAATCAAGATTTTGTCATTAAAGTGAGAAAATTAGTCATTATTTTGTGATACCAAGTCAATTTTAGAAGTTAGTCATTATTTTAAAATATTAAGTCAATATTTTGAGGACCAAGTCACTATTTTAAGGTAGTCATTTAGAATTTTGACATACTGCTGCCAGAAACAGAGGAGACAAAATCATAGACAATTTTTTCTTTCTCTACCTGGCAGGAATGGGGCGGTGTTGCATTGTACCAAGCAGAATATTAGCCTTATGGATGAACAGTGCCTTATTAGTTATTGCCAACAAGCTATCAAGACTCCAGCCTTATTGCAGTTGTCATTATATAGCATTTAAGAGTTTACTCTGCAGGAGACATTTACTGTGCCTTTCTGACTACAATGTTGTGGCATTAAAGTTGAAAATTGTAAACAGGAATGGCAAAGGGATCAGCGCTTCATTTGTGTTAGTTTAATTATTGTATCTTACTCATTAATGCTGGGAAATAATATTGTTTTTTCATGTAGAGATATCTGGCTCATTCATAGCCAATATCAGCTGCAAAGTGAATCAGTAGTGTTCAGCTGAATTAGAGTTTAGCAATATGTAGAACAATGATTAACCAGTATGTATTGGAAAACATTGGAAACTAATTTTGCAAACACTTAGTGAGCCTGAAACGTTTTAAATACTGTCTGTATGTGTACCATGCGTTGTCTGCATTTGATCCAAATGTGCCATTTATAATGATAAAGTGGAAGGCAGCTTACTCACAGACTCAAGTCTGTAATAACCCCCTCTAGTACCTCCTACAGTACCAGATAGCCTATCTGTTCCCAGCAGCAGCGAGCGACTGTTGTGAGTAGGCGCTAGGCCACAAGAAAAGCACCTTTGCATTTATTTGTAACAGTTGCCTTTTTAGTTTTTACATCATTTTAATTTTGTAAATTGAAGATAAAGTGCCAGAGAATGGGCTTAACATTTAGTAAAAGGGCTTGAATTTTTAACATAAATTTTACTTTTACTAAAACTTACCATCAGGCTTTTCTTAGTCATTTGCATATGTTTTAAGGAAATTAAATGGTTAAAACACACACACACACACACTTGAAACCATCTTAATGGACCTCTCAACTCCAGGCTCTAATTCACTGATTCCTTTGAGCTATTAATAGTGTTTCTACACTGTGGTGATAACTACATTGCTTATTTGTGAGGTATGGAACATTCACCAGAACTAACCAGCTCTGTATCACTGACTCACTCTCTCACGCACAAAGCTGATTCACCAGTTATCCCTGTGACCATTCAGTGCTTTGTTGAGTGTCTGTTTAAAGATTTTTAGCCAAGCTGCAGCGTTGTGTTTCAAGGTTTCAGTGCTTCTGTTGTCAAAAGTGTTTGAGCTGTTATGGAAATACTGCTGGTGTTCTCAGAACAATGGACTGGCCACCCCAGAGTCCAGACCTCAACATCATTGTTACATCCATTTGTTTGGATTACTTGGATTATAAGAAGCAGAACTGAAACCAACTTCTAAGACTGAACTTTGGAGGTGTGGAAAAATATCAGATTTGTTTGAAAAACTGAAAGCAGGTTTCCCGAGAAGATGGAACCTGTAATAAAGGCAAAGCGTGGACACTAAATACTGGAAAATTTAGTATATTTAGTTGTTGAGGTTTCTGTGTGATGGTATGACCATTCTTACCAACACAAACCCTCTGTAACCAGATTTGAATGAAAATTCAAGTGCATTCAAGCAGAAAGTGAGAGATTTCATGTGGTTACTGACTTGAAACCCTCATGGTCTGTTAAACTGTGATATGTTTGAGCTACTGTATGAATACTTGCATTTGTATTTGTATTTATGATATTAGTTTGGAATTACATACCCAAACGAAGAATGGCAGAATGTATTAGTGTTGCAGTTCTGTTGTACATTCCAGTACGATGTTAATACTGGAGTGGAACATAGGCATCATGGATGTTATATGCATACAGTTGCACCCCTGGTCAAATGAAATGTTTTGTTGATTTTCTAAGTAAAATAAGTTAACACATCCAATACAAACCTAAACATGATATAATTGGTTAATATACTTTTTCTCCGCCCACTGGTGTACAGTGACAGAGGACATTTTAAAGGTGGCCAAAAGTCTCTACACTTTGATGGGAGATTACAGAAAAAACAAGAATTTTGTCTTTCAAGTGATGTGATGAGTCATGAACTAAAAAGAGAAAACTGTTTTGATGTCAGGTTGACTTTATGTTTGCATGTTAAGCCACCAGCAAAATGAGTTTTGAGACATTCCCAAAGTGAATCAATATTAGACCTCTAGAGTGAGGTACCAAGACTAAACTTCAAACTTCAGGGTATTTATCCATGAATGTACAGTTTTCAGTGTTACTGTGTGCTTACAGCTCGTTTATGCCACCAAGAGCTATTACTATTGTAATGAGGGCTTTTACTGAACTGACATCAATGTAGGGACATGGCTCTGCTTGTGTGTATTTGATAAGGAAATGTTTGCAAATGCTTGCAGTTGTTTGCAGTCTGTCTGTTCTAAGCCATCAAGCAACATTCTTTGCTTTTATTGTGCTTCTGATGTGAGTCTAATCTGTCCTGCTGGTTTCATCTATGGGGATGGACAATATTTTACCTTACTGTCATATCTTCTCTGTAAAGGTATTGAAGTATTACATTTTTTGTGAATGCCAATTCAGACGTTGGACACTTACCATTATTACCAAATAGTTTGTAAAGCCACCTATTAAGGTGACATCTTATAATTCACAGATCTGACCTCCAACACTCCATTTCTTTCATGAATTTTACATGACAAAACACTCATATGCTTTGCCAATGCTGGTGTATGTGCTGTTTGCCCAACAGAATAAAAAAGAAGGAGAATATGTGAATTTCTTAATTTGTGGGCCATTTTTTTATCTGCCTGTGTCTGGAAATCTTCCTTTCTGAGTATTCAGATATTGAATTTTGCTACTCTGGTTATACAGTACAGTGCAAAAATCAGAGACCACCTTTTATTTCTATTCAAAACAGACTTTAAGTACAAGTTAGTCTTTTTTCAGGAGATATTACTGAGGAGATTAGATATAAGATAATCCACTTGTATAAGGAAAGAGAGAGTTAAAGAAGAATAAGCATGAGGAGTTTCCAAAACTGGAGTTTAAAAAATGTTTAAATATGTAGAGAAAATGAGCCTCCTAACAACCGTACGAGACAGGGTAGACTTGCAAGAGTGTCACCATCAGATAAAAACAACTTAAAGCTTTCATTTTTGAAAGATGGGAGGAAAATCAAGCTCTTGCTTCAGACCTGAGTCCACAGGTGCTTCTGTCCATTCGTCCGCTGTGAGAAGACAACTCAACACTATCAGTCTGAAAGGATGTGTTGGGAGGATCTGAAAGGATCTGCCAAGAAGCCCTCACTGAGAAAAAGAAATAGACGGAAAAAGGAAGAAAAATTATAAATCGAGGAAAGAAGCTGCCTCACTATTCTCAGAACAATGGACTGGCCATATCAGAGTCCAGACCTCAACAGCAATGAAAGCGTTTGGGATTATTTGGATCGTGAGAAGCAGGAAATGCAACCAACCTCTAAGACATCATGAGGCGTGGAAAAAATATCAGATTTCTTTGAAAAACTGAAAACAAGTTTTCCAAATAGTATAGAAAACATAATAAAGGTAAAGAATGGATACAGTAAAAGTGGAAAAAATGATATTAAATTTGGTTGTTGAGGCTTCTTTGTAATTGTATATGTTTTCTAATTTTTTCCTGATGAAAATGAAAAATCTGTACTTCATGGCCATTTTGACTGGAAATTAAATAAATAAAAGGTGCTCTCTGACCTTTACATGGCACTGTATGTTCTGTACACTCTTAAAAATTACAGTTCCACAAAACAGTTTTTTGAGTGGTATTATTAAAAAATGGTTCCCTGTAGAACCAGGTCTGATAAAGATATTTATGAATGTGAAGGATCTTTTAAAGGTTTAAAGAACCTTCATACAATGTGAAGGTTTTGTACCAATTTAACAAATCTTCCCAGAAACAGGTTCTTAAACGTAAAAAAAAACCACATCTCATTTAAAAAATTAGTTCCTTGAAATGTTCTTTAGGAACCAAAGTAGCTTCTCTATAGCATCTTTATTTTAAAGAGTGCAGTCAGTCTGTTGTGCACTCTGCACTCTATCAAATGCTCTGTGTTGTCTTACCTCAGATCTTGATCAGATAACATTGGCTGACCTTGTTGTGTGTGCCAGTTACATAACAAAGAACTGCATGTACCAAACATTCATCCTTTACAGAGTCTCAGAGTAACATCCTAGCAAACTACAATTTGTGCACTACATTTGCAATTATTTACATGTTTGTGGAATTTGGAAGCAGATTTTGACCCATTGATGATTAGTGTGTGAAATTCTAATGACAATAGAAAGCAGTGATTAGTAAATTCAAATTGATGTATTAAATTGAAAATGGTACAGAAACACAATGTTTTGTTTAATCTTAAGAATGTCTTTGTTTTTTGTAAAAATGTGATGCCTGCAGCATGTTCCAAAAGTTGGTACAGGAGCATGTTTACCACTGTGTTACATCACCTTTCCTTTGAACAAGAATTAATAATTTGGAGGCTGAAGACACCAAAGGGTCCAGTTTATTCCCACTGTTCAGTCATACACATCTTTAGGAGTGCAAAAGTACAGGGCCTTTGTATTGTTTTGGTATTGTTGTATTTTATATGGCCCTGCGATGGACTGGCAACCAGTCCAGGGTGTATCCTGCCTTCCACCCAATGACAGCTGGGATAGGCTCCAGCAACCCAGAAGGATAAACGGTTTAGATGATGTGTGTGTGTGTATTTTATACGTTTTCAATGAGAAACAGTTCTGCACTGCAGCCAGGCCAATGTGGAATGTCCCTGAAAAAGGCGGCATCTAAAAGGCAACATATGTTGCTCAAAAATGTGTTCAGTGTTAATAGTGCCTTCACAGATGTGCAGGTTACCCAGTACTATACCCATACCATGACTGACCCTGGCAACTTTACACTGGTAACAATATGGATGGTGCTTTTTTTCTTTGGCCTGCAGAACACGATGTCAAAGTATTCCTGAGCCCATGCGGTGATAACCATCACAGAAGCATGGTAGTTTTTTAATGCAGTGCCGTCTGAGGCGTTAAAGGTCACTGGCATTCAGTTGTGGCTTTTGGCCTTTTCCTTTACCCACAGAGCTTTCTTAAGAATCTTTTGATGACATTATGCACTGTAGAGGGTGAAATACCAAAACTCCTTGCAGTCACTCACTGAGGAACATTATTCTGAAACTGTTGGATTTCTGATTCATTTTCAAGTGTCACACCTCAAACCATCCTTGCCCATAAAGGACTCTGCCTTTCCTGAATGCTCATTTTAAATAAAAGTATGATTGTATCACCTGTTTAAGTTGATTTTTGAACATGTTCTTAGTCCTACATTGCCCCTGTCCCAACTTTTTTGGAACATGTTGCAGGCAATTCATTTTTATTTGTATTTTATCTTCTGTCCCAACTTTTTTGCAATTGAGTTTGTCATTTGAATCCAGTTGAAAAGTCAAAATCCGATTAAAACTAGCTAAACTGAGAACACAATCTAGGTCAAAGTCATGTTTTCATGAATTACTATTACATTATAAATGAAATTAGTTGTACTCTAGATGAGATGGGAAAGACTGGGATGGTCTTTAAAAGTATGTATCAGGTGAACTGATGGAGGCTGAAACTGAACTCTTTGCCTCATAATGATATAATTTTTTTCTCTTAATCCTTTAATCACACTTATTTAGGTGGATTATTACAGTGGCATGCAATGTTAGTCTAATTCGAATGTTAGTATCATTGATTTTGCCTAAGCCAATTTAGTTTGTCCATTACATTTTAAGGAAACGGTTCTGTGGAGAACCACTTTAAGCTACTTAAGGACATTATGTTCCATTTAGGGACAAAATGTCTTCACACAGTCATCACAAAAGGGGATAGCAGAGGTTACACCGTCCATTAGTGGATGTATTGAATGCTCACCTACTATTGTAATTCCACATAATGTAACTGACTAATGTCCATAATGGTTATCTGAGAATTCTCTGGAGCTCTGCTACAGTATTTGTCCAAGGAAGCTCCAGCAAGAAATGATTAATGAATGAAATGGAGATTCTGCCAGTTAGATGAAAGTATTGGAGATAATTATGGAAAATCCCAGGACAAAAACATTCAGACACTGAATCATTTCTCCCTGTCACTGTTCTGTAGCAGCTGCATTTTCAGTAATAAAATATAGTTACTGAAGGCAGCTCATTCCTTCCTTAACATGTCTTCATGGTATGTCTCATGTACCACAAAAATACACTTAAATGACATTTGTCCTTATTTAAAGGGCAATCCCGCATATTTTTCACATTTTCTGTGTAACTATATCATTAAGATGTGAACAAAGTCAACAAAGTTCCAGAGAAACTTACTGAGTCACAATTGTTCACAGTGGTGGTGATAGGAAAGAGACGTCTGAAGTGTTGAATGCCTCTA